AATGTCTGTGCATTTGAGATACGTATAAGGATGCACTTGGATAAAACTGAGGGAAGCTGCATGTGTTAAATGATTGGATCTACAAAAGGAAAATAAAATATTCTAAATCATACATGCATCCTTCAGAACTGAAACTTTAAAGCATAACATTTTCCTCAAGGACATCAGGCACAAAATGTCACACGCAAAGAAGGCCTGTCTTCTTTGTTTTGTACAAATTTGGGTTTATCATGAAAGTGTGGCAAAGGTTGTTGCTTCAGATGCTAAGAAAAGCACCTTCCTTCCATTACTGTGATGCTTCTGTTTTTCACAAGCAGCCGCATGTAACCTGTTTGCAACAAGGTTGCTGTACTCCACCAGAAAGAACATCTTAACTCTGAAAACACTTTGCAAAACTGGAAAAAAGCACACCCATGGCCCTGACCCACTTAGACTGAAACATGAGATTTATCAGTATTCACTTGCTGTAAATGTTGTAAAATGTGTTTAAATGATGAGAGGTGGCTATAGATTTTTTTAAAATAAATAAATCACAATGTTGAAGAAATTCAAAGGGCTGCTGTTGAAAGAGCATGAGTTCTTGGGGCCAAGCTAAAAAGGCTAACAAAAAAGGCATTTCAGTGCTTTTTAGGGCAGGTGATCTGAAAGAGAGCAAAGGTATTCATCTATTTAGAGACTGGTCCCTGTGTCGGTTTCTGTTGGGTGGCCAGTCACTGCTTGCAGCTGACTGTTTTCATTAGGGTAGGGGGCTGTCTGTAAGCAATTATACACCTACCACTGAAGGCATGGTTGGGGAATGTGCCATTATTCAGGATGGACTGCAGGTCACTGGTGATATCTTTGAATGATTTGAGATGGGAAATGACCACAAGTGGTGTTCTAATGTTTTCTCTTCTAGATCTCTCCTCTGGTAGATTGCTCCTGGTTACCAGTCTGGCCTCCTTGATCCAAGTTTTCCTCTTTGCTAGATGGTAGTTTTAGTTTGTGGAATGCCTGGTGTAAATTCTTATGTCTGTCCTAGGAGTCTGATCAGATGTGGCTATGGACCTGGCTATGGACAGTGCCATTTTTCTATGAGAGGTCACCATGAACACCTAACTTGTTCCCTTAGAATGGCAAAGGCTCCCACCAGAAAGGTGCTGGAACTGACTTCTGGCAAGTTGTGGCTGGGGGCGGGGGAATGCCCTGGCTGTAGACAATGGATTTTGTGCTGAAGCATGAAAATAGGTGTAGTAGTTGGTCAGTTCCCAATAGGTAAAGGTAAAGGACCCCTGGATGGTTAAGTCTAGTCAAAGGTGACTATGGGGTTGTGGCGCTCATCTCGCTTTCAGGCTGGCGTTTGTCCACAGACAGCTTTCTGGGTCATGTGGCCAGCATGAATAAACTGCTTCCTATTTATCTACTTGCACTGGTGTGCTTTTGAACTGCTAGGTTGGCAGGAGCAGGGACAGAGCAATGGGAGCTCACCCCATCGAAGGGATTCCAACCACCGACCTTCCAATCGCCAAGCCCAAGAGGCTCAGTGGTTTAAACCACAGTGCCTCCTGCATAGGAAAGTGAACTTCTTGCATGGTCTGGTCTAGGCACAGGTTGATTGGTAGGGCAACAGTTATTGCTATCTGGTGGAACTGCTCAAATGTCCTCTGCCCATGACTCCTGATGATGAAGATTTAATCAGGCTTTGAGGGACAAGAGCTGAGAAAGCATTGTTATAAGTCAGCCATGAAGATGTTGGCATGCTGTGGAGCTGAGAAAGTACTCCTGGCAGAGCTCTTGATCCGAACACAAATCTTCTCCCCAATGCTAAAGTAATTGTTGATGAAAGAATGAACTCATTTGAATTGTGAATATTTATTGTTATTTAGCAAGATTACAGCTTAATAAAATATATCTCCAAGGAGTTTGTATAATAAACTACTTGCTTTGTTTTGGAGAATTTCTGCCAAGTGTATGGCTGTGTAGAACAGGATGGAGAATTTATGGGTCCCGTAAGGGTTCTAATTGGGAGTGGAGCACATTTTCCTCAAACCATACCTACCCGTCCCACCCTGGTGTTAGATGTGATGTCAGGAGTAAGGCAGGTAAAAGCATGGCTGTCATCACCTTGAAGTCCACTTTCATATGGTTTATATTGAAACCACAGACTTCAGAGGCAATCCCCTTTCAAGTTATGTCATATGAATGACAGGTGGGCACCCCAACTATCAAAGTTGGGGGAAGAAAAGATCCAGCCTAGTGGCTGAATACAGTTCCCCACCCCTGGTGCATAAGGTTAGTTCTTTGCAACCGGTTCCAGATCCAAGATTTTACTCTATCTTTTTCTGTTTACTATAGAGGATGCTGATCTGATAGTTCAGTATTTTGGGGACAGCAGCGTAGTCCCTCACCATAGTCCAGGCACTGTATAGATTTGATTCTATTTTTTCCACCTTCCATCACTTAGGAATGAAGATCTTGCTGTTTGCGTTGGTTATAATGATAATATCTGTCTGTATCTGTGCATCTCACTCCAGATTCTTCACTCCATATGTCAAAATCTGATGCCTTTCATTGTAGCAATTTCCAGAGGCGTAGCCATGTTTGCCATGCACCTTAAAATTGTTGTAATATATATTTACTGACTCACACCTGCATGCATGAAAGGGTTAACTTGAGCCCTGAGCTCAAGTTGCCAATGTGGGCATGGCTTAATAGGCTCTCAGTAGCCCACCCCTTTTTCTTTTTGTGGTTCCTGGTACGAGCAAGGAGCCATGTGGCTAATGGCTCCTAACTCAGCAAATGCTGCAACTGAACCAAATCTCTCAAAAAAGTCTGCATCTTTCCTAATCTAAAGATTGCATGATCTTTTTCATAAGGAAACAAAGTACTTTTCTTTGTAAGTCGTTTGGAATGTTTTTCACATCTTTGTTTTATTGATAGCAGATGGAGACTTGTGAGTAAAAATCTTTACTTATTTGGAAAGCTAAGTGTCTGTGATTTATTCTAACCTAAGTATTTTTGTGGGGAATGTTTGTTTAATGGTGGATGAGAGTATATGTAAAGTTAACCAAGTTTTAATGTGCTTGGAGCAACAGCCATTGTGCTTAACTTTGCTAAAAGAGGGTAAGAATCTCTCTTCCAACACATTTATTATATGCTTACAGATCACCCCAACCTAAAGCATCTACTCACCAGCAACCAACTGCAAAGGAAGCACAATACTCTTTGTTATTTTTAATGCAAGAGACCAACACAGTTACTACTCTCGAAATAGTACAACATAACCCAATGTACACTACTACCTCTTATCAACTTTTGTTCAAATGGCGTTGGTTTTCTAATATGAATTAGTTGCCACCTATTGATGGGATGTTATTCTAAGCAGTAAGAAACCAATGACAAAGTAGTGTCCTCGCATTATTGATCCTACGTGCATTAAAACTACAGATGTCAGTCAGCTGTAAAATGCAATACAGTTGAAAAACAGGCACATTCTCAAAGCGTCATTCAAAATAATAACAATAAATTGCAAGCTTAATTTGGCATTTGGGTAACAGATGGGCACCACTATAAAATCTGAGGAAACTTTAAATAGTTCAAAAAATCCTGACGGATATTGTCATGCTTGAACAAACTAAGGTTCCATAACAATAAATTGAAGCTGTTTCCATTTAGGATGCAAAATGTCTGATCCGTGAAGCTGTCAAGGGTGCTATTTTGCCTGAACTTTCGAATAGAATGTAATAAATGAAAATGTCCTTTCCACATTATTTCAGCAATTACTATGTTGGTTCTGTTGTTCACGTTACATTTCCCCATTATCTCCTCTAATTTCTAGGCAACAAAGCTGCTGTAGTAAGTAGCATATGGTTGAAAACAGTTATAGGAGACCTGGATAGGAGACCCAGTTGGCCACACAGCTCACCACTCACCATGTCAACTCAGAGGTTCATTGTCAAAATAAAATGAAACTAGACCCATGCACACCACTCTTGAGCTCTTTGGAGAAAAGATTTGTACAGAGGTACCTCGGGTTAATAACTTAATTCGTTCTGGAGGTCCATTCTTAACCTGAAACTGTTCTTAACCTGAAGCACCACTTTAGCTAATGGGGCCTCCCGCTGCTGCTGCACTGCCACTGCCACACGATTTCTGTTCTCATCCTGAAGCAAAGTTCTTAACCCGAGGTACTATTTCTGGGTTAGCGGAGTCTGTAACCTGAAGCATCTGTAACCTGAAGCATGTGCACTGTACTGTATGTGCAAATCTTACCAGCTCGATCAATTTAGGTTCACTACTGTTAGGATGCTGTCAGTGGCTCCCAGCTGGTTGCCCAGGAAAGTATAAAGATAAGGAAAAGTTTCTTACACTCCTTTTCTATTTCAATCTTTACAGAGAGTGGCTATAGAACCCAGACTCTTGGCTAATGGAATTGTCCCAAGTAAATCTCCACCTCCCATCTCTACCACTTCCTCATTCATCTCTTCTACGGGTGCCCCCTGTCTTTGAGCTCTTTGTTCTCCTACTTTTAAGGCTTGCCAGGTTCTGGGAGATGGAGGGCCTGGAATGCTTTCTAATGACAATGTGTAACTGGGTGTTGTTCTGACTCTCCCATGATTTTCCAACTTTCCCCCTCCTCTGCCTCTGAGCTGCAACCGCCCTCAAATCCCTGTTGTAAATCAATACTTTCTTCCTCTTCCTCCTCCCTGGAAGGGTCAGGATGGGGAGATGGTCTCCACCATTCCTCCTCTGCCCAGTCCCTGACAATTAGCTTTCTTTAACAGTGGAAGCAGGTTTTCAGATTATACACAGTTCTTCTTCAGGCTTTGATTATGAGAGCAAAAAATAAACATCCAATAGTCTAGATAGAAACAAATGTGTAGTCAGGCTGATTGTTACTTGGTTGCAGAAGTTTACTGGCCATTGCTGTCGGCATGGAGATAGTCTAGGTTGAATGCAAACATGACATTCTGATGTCAGGTGTGATGTCACAAAGGGGATATGCTTTAAGTCTTGGTAAAGTCCAAAACAGTTAACAGACTGCATCTCAGCACTGTCAAGATGGATCTGCATAATAGGTGATGAATAGTTTTTTTGGAAGGATATATTAACTTTTACTGTTGGGGAAAAGTTTTAGATTGGTTTGTCAGTTTGTAACCCATCAAGTTGAGGCCAATATATGTATACATTCACAACCCTGCACCCATCAAATTATCGACTTTATGTGTGACTTTGGGACTGATTCATACAACCACATTTCCTTTCTCCACTCTATAGCAGGTTTTTATCTGTATCTGAAAAAATAACCAAGAAGGAGAAGATAAGGAATGAGGAATATGTGTCCTCTGTCTTTAAGCTCTTTGCTCTCCTACTTTTAAGGCTCGCCGGGTTCTGGGAGATGGAGGGTCTGGAATGCTTTCTAATGACAAGGTGTCAGCCGGGTGTTGTTCTGAGTCTCCCATGATTTCCCAATTTCCCCCCTCATCTGCCTCTGAGCTGCTACCTCCCTCAAAACCCTGTTGTAAATCTATACTGTCTTCCTCTTCCTCCTCCCTGGAAGGCTCAGGATGGGGAGGAGGTCTTCACCATTCCTCCTCTGCCCAGTCCCTGGCAATTAGTTTTCTTTAACAGTGGAACCTTTCTTTCTCAAGAAAGGTTGGAAGGTATGTAATTTGAATGGCTATTGCTCTCTGCTGTTAGGGTGTTGTCAGCAGATCTCAGCTAATTGCCCAGGAAAGTATAAAGAAAAGGAAAAGTTTCATATAGTCCTTTTTTATTTCAAACTTTACACAGAGAGGCTATAGAACCCAGACTCTTGGATAATGGCTTTATCCTGAGTGAATCTCCACCCCCCCCATCTCTCCCACTTCCTCATTTGTCACTTCTACGGGTGCTGCTACCTACCCTCTGTCTTCAAGCTCTTTGTTCTCCTACTTTTAAGGTTTGCTGGGTTCTGGGAGATGGAGGGTCTGGGACGCTTTCTAGTGAGAATGTGTCAGCCACCTACTGCTCTGGCTCTCCCATGATTTCCCAGCTTTCCCCCTCATCTACCTCTGAGCTGTGACCTCCTGCAAACCCTTGTCTTCCTCTTCTTCCTCCCTGGAAGGGTCAGGATGAGGAGGCAGTCTCCACTATTCCTCCTCCTCTGCCCAGTCACTGACAACTACCCATCTTCTCTGAAATTGGGATGGGGATGAAATGATGGAGGTGATCAGAAGTGTAGTTAAAACTGAGTTTGCGGACAAAGGCCAAAGACTTGTTGGCAGATTCCAAGAAAGTTATTCTAGAATCCGTTTCAGCAAAGATTGCCACTGAAGTTTGGGAAAAGCAAAATTCAAAGCTAGTTGGGAGCAGGGGTTGTCCCTGAACTGAGACGTGTTCCAAGGTTGTAGTCACACCCCTTACATACCCTCGTGTTCCTCTTGCCAGTAAATGTTGGAGTTATGAGTGAGTGTATGGGGAATATAGGAGATTAGAAGAGGAACTCAGCTATGGTGAATTTTGTTGTTGTGATGAATTTTTGTCTATAGCAGCCTTTCTTAACCTGTGGGTCCCCAGATGTTGTTGAACTACAACTCCCATCACCACTAGCTAGCAAGGCCAGAACTCAGGGATAATGGGAGTTGTAGTCCAACAACATCTGGGGACCCACAGGTTGAGAACCGCTGGTCTATAGCTAATGATCGCTGTCATGGGCACTACTTTGACTCGGTACTATCATCTCTATCTTGATATCGCTCTCCTCTGAACTGAGTTTGCAGAGTGACAGAGGAATGTGGCACAAAACAGATTTCTCCCAAACTATGCCCATCAGCCCTCAACCCAGAAGCCAAGATGATCCTTCTACATATGCCACACAAAGGAAAATATTGATGAGCCATTCTAGATCTTTAGCAAAAGTCAGGCATTTTGTGGTAGAAGAAAAAGAAGGTTCTTAAGTACATTATTCTGAAATATTAACTGGATAATGACTATGACATGTGGCAGAATGGCAAAAATTCACAAAAAAACCTCTAGCAACTATACCACTATAAACTGTAAGGGAAGAAAGCCCCCTAGTTAGAGGATTAAAACATATGCCAAGATTATTATTTAAAAGTCTTTATCCATGTAAGTATATTGTGTTTACTTGTTGTTGTTTAGTTATTTAGTCGTGTCCGACTCTTTGTGACCCCATGGACCAGAGCACGCCAGGCACTCTTGTCTTCCACTGCCTCCCACAGTTTGGTCAAACTCATGCTGGTAGCTTCGAGAACACTGTCCAACCATCTCATCCTCCGTCGTCCCCTTCTCCTTGTGCCCTCCATCTTTCCCAACATCAGGGTCTTTTCCAGGGAGTCTTCTCTTCTCATGAGGTGGCCAAAGTATTGGAGCCTCAGCTTCAGGTTCTGTCCTTCCAGTGAGCACTCAGGGCTGATTTCCTTAAGAATGGATAGGTTTGATCTTCTTGCAGTCCACGGGACTCTCAAGAATCTCCTCCAGCACCATAATTCAAAAGCATCAATTGTGTTTACTACCCACTGGTAATTTTCCTTTATACAGTCGTTTCACAGGTCCCTTTCCATCTTCTTGGCATTCTTAAATCTCTTAAAGGCATCTTTCATTCCCTCCATGTCTGTCCTCTTCAGTCAGAGTTCCTCTTGGCCGGCATCTTTCCAAAAGCAGTCGAAAAAATTAAACATAAACAAACAGACCACCACTCCCTGTTACTACCTTGTGGCACTGCAATTTCCCCCTCTTTTATTTTTTTTTGAAGGCCTCACTAAAAGCAACATGTGCTATATCCACATAATTCTGAATTGCTAAAAGGTAGATCAGCCTTTATCTTTGATGCTGCAAGCGTTTGATCTTTATTATTGCTGATTGAAAACAGCAACATCAAAGATGTGTAAATGACTATTTCGATCCACTTCTCATGGTACTAATTTTTTTTGCACTGTGTGACTGTGAGGCACAGGGAAGAGAAACCCATAGAAGTCTTTCCACTCCTTTAAAAAGAAAATCTTGTGTGTGGTTATCAGGTTCTATTCCATAGAATCATAAAATTGTAGCGTTAAAAGGGACTACAGAGGTCATTTTAGTACAACTCCCTGCAATGCAGAAACTTTTTATCCAGTGTGGGATCTCATGCCCTACAGACTAAGCTATCAGATCTGTCCAATCAGCTAAGAGCTATGAGCGAAGACTTCAGATGAACATCTGGTCAGGAGACGAGATGCATTGCTTTGGGACCAAGCATAATCCAAATCTTCCATCTTCAGAATTGGAAGCCCCATCTTTCAATCTGGTGGAATGCTCTCCCACAAGAGACCAGGGCCCTGCGGGATTTAACATCTTTCCGCAGGGCCTGCAAGAAGGAGCTGTTCCGCCAGGCCTTTGGGCAGGATGCAGTTTGACTTACTTTCCTTTGTATAAAACAAGCCCGAAGGAGGCCCCCAACCTGCTCACAGGTCGTTGTGGAAACAGTTGGCCCTGGCAAGCATTAACCACTCTCAATTCCAACCTGATAATTGCCACCTGCCCAAATTTTAACTTGTCTGAATTAATGTTAAGATGTATTTTAATTAATTGATGTCTGTTTTTATGCATATTGTGTTGTTTTTATGATATTAGCCGCTCTGAGTCCGGCCTTGGCCAGGGAGGGCAGGATACAAATAAATGAAATTATTATTATTATTATTATTATTATTATTATTATTATTATTGCCTTTTTCTGTGGTTAGTGTTTTGGGGGAATGTATTCTGTACATGTTTGGATGCACTTTCTTCTACAGTCAAACTGCATGTTCACAATCTTCTAACACACATTGCTGGCTCCAACCTCCACGATTTTCAGCTGCAATGAAGAACGAAGTACATGGTCTATAAATGGCTTGGTCACATAAACCTACCTACAATAATAGTTCCTTGATAGGAAGCTGATCTTTCTGTACTGTAACTTCAGTACAGCCCCCGTAGCATAGGACTGTAAGAACATAAGTAGAGCATCTGTTGGTCAGACCAAAGGCTTATCTGTTCCAGAATCGTTTTCACAGTGGGAAAAGAGGCCTATGGGAAGCTTGCATGCAGGACCAGAACACAATAGCACTCTATCCAACTTTGATACCCAGCATCTGGACCCAAGAGACCTGGAAAAATAGCAGCAGAAAAATATGGAACCATACATGGATCCACAGTATGCAACTGAGCAAAATAATATCTCCATGTAGTTGCTTAGATCTGAGTTGGAAACCAGCTCCCCGAAGAGCACATCCTCAGGACTCCTGCTAACTTCCATTGCATGGTTTACAGGAGTGTAAACATGCAGGGAATGTGGTGTTGGAAGAGCACATCTTTGTTTGAGATTCTGTCCTGTTATGTGATACCCAGAGTCTTCCTGATGTGGAAGGCATTGAGGTGGAAGGCAATGAGGTGTTGCTCTTGACGGCTGGAAGTTGCTCACAACGTAAATACATAAAGCAGTGTGCTCAACATGCAAGCCTGGTTAAAAAAAAAAAGCAATCTGGGTAGACCTTCATCTTGGTATTGGTCATTAGCATCGCATATACTGAACAACAGTGAAGTAAGTGCTTGCTTAAACTATACTAGAATTCAGAATCAAACATGGCAATTGAAGGCACTTATATAAAATTGTCCAATCTGAATTATAATAGTAGCACAATAGCACAAACATATCAAAGAGTTCTGGTGCTGACGTACTGAAGCATACATAATCTGCAATTGAAAAATGCTCAGAAGTCTGGAAGTTCTTCACTTTTTAAATATCTCCTGATTCTTTTCGGAGAACAATTTCAAGTTGATATGGCACTTCCATACACGATCGTTGTAATGGCTGGTTTTGTTGTGATACAGAGCTTTGCATTTGAACTAGCAGATGGGTTTAAACTCACTTTGAAAATTGGGATTAAAACCTGAGTCTCATTCTGTGAAGGGGGCACATGTCTCCAAGCCACTTGGGCAGGGGGGAATATGCATTAGACATGCACCATTAATGGCTGCACCTCCCTGCCCAAGTCCGCAGAGCATAGGAAACATGCTCTGTAGTTGTGTTATGGTTCAATGTCCCCACACACTCAGTCCCACATTGCGTGAGATGATCTGAAGGGGCTTCTAAGATCATTTGACTGATTGTGCTTGGAAGCATCTGCCCAGTCAGGTATCCTGATAGGACTGGGTAGCTAAACAAGCTTCAATTCTCTAGGGTTGCCATATTCCCCAAAGTGAAAATCCAGACATTTTGCTGATTCAACACAAAAAATCTGCTCGGCTGCCATTTCGCAGACTGCTCATTGTGCATGCAAGGACCAGTGTCCACAGAGACAATGTGGGCACACCACAATTTCCCTTACCTGTTCTCTATTTAAGCATAATGCTAGCACAGGACTTCAGCAACTCTGGATTGTTTTCAGTGTAACATTAAGGGAAATAGTCCATCAGCACAAGAATTTATCATTGTGCAATGGAATGTTCTCTCCCTCTTCTCCCACTGTGTGCCCCTTAAATCTGTTCTGTGGTTTTCCCCAAACTCCAGAGCAGATTTGGGGATGATGTGGGGCACATGGAGTGGAGGGAAAGTTCCATTGCACTAGCAGTAATCCTTGCACAAGTGAAATTATTTAGGTGAAACCCACCCTCTGTGGGGACATTTATTTGATTTGTCAGTAGGTATCACAAGAGCTGAGATTTTTTGGCAGAATTCTGATTTTGCCACCCAATGCTAAACTGAAATTTTGAGCACATACAAATTAACAAAGCTAGCTCAAAACTACCTTCCTCACCCTGAGATCTCTTGGCCCTCCAAGTGTCATAGCTGTCAACTTTTCCCTTTTCTTGCGAGGAATCCTACTCGGAATAAGGGAATTTCCATTAAAAAAGGGGAAACGTTGACAGCTATGCCAAGTGTGTGAGATCTATGTACAGTGGTACCTCGGGTTAAGTACTTAATTCATTCCGGAGGTCCATTCTTAACCTGAATCTGTTCTTAACCTGAAGCACCACTTTAGCTAATGGGGCCTCCCGCTGCCGCCGGGCCGCCAGAGCACAATTTCTGTTCTCATCCTGAAGCAAAGTTCTTAACCCGAGGCACTATTTCTGGGTTAGCGGAGTCCGTAACCTGAAGCGTATGTAACCTGAGGTACTACTGTATGTGATAAAGTGGCCATCTGCATGGGCTTTTGTGCATTTTCAGAAGTGGAAAACAAAAATATTTACAGTTATGGGATGGAAATGAAGTAACAGATCTCAATCCTAAAATACCAAAATAGCTGTTTCAGATTCGAATCACAAACTATGAGGGGGCTGTAGCTTGTCTATGATCATAACAGTGACCTAGGGTGGATCTACACACAGGGGAAAAAACGCTATAAATAAGTCTGGAATTAGATCATTATAACAATTTAAAAACAAAACAAAAAAACCCTATGGAAAAACGTGTATAAAAATTCCCTGCTCACTGTTGCCATCTGGTGTTGCAAGTTTATAGCACATTCAATAGCTGTTGTTTTTGCTAATGTAGCTGAATCCATAGTGTCGAGGCTCTGCTACCCACTGAGTGGATCACAGAATATACAGCCCTCAACAATATTTTTCACCAAAACAATTGCTAATATAAGGCAAGGGGCACATTTCTGGAACTCTGCTAAAATCCTTCGGCTTTGTACTAATTAAAAAAATAGTGAAAGTTATTCTGAGTATTCTGACAGTGAATCTAACCCAGCAAATATGGCATGTGGCAAAGGCAGCAAAAGGTCTGAAGGCCAAAAAACCCCCTGTAGACTCTGATGCATACATTGAAAAAATTAGAGCAGTCTTGGCCGCTGACTGGTCAGCAGCCTTAAAGCCCATTAGAAGAAAAGCAAACTATAAGTGTAATCCAAAATCAAGCATTTCAAAACCTTATAGATTTCAATGGGATGGAGCTGAGGACACGCTTAACTCTCCCAGTGAAACCAGGGTCACTTAAAGCATGTTTAACTTCGACTGGCTAAGACAGAACATTTCACTTTTTCTCTAGGAGGTACAAGTTCTGTTAATCTCTAAAATAATTAATACATGTGCTAAGCTTCCTGGCATGATCCAACATTCAATTTGGTTGAAAAGAGTGAAAAAGTGATATGGTAGCAAAATGTCCCTATCCTGTCGGTATGGGTGGCACAAATGACATCCATGAAAGGTTTAATTTGCATTATAATGAAACTTTTTCCTGCCTGCCTAAAAATCATATTATACATGTGGAATACATCCGTCAAAGACAACCTGAGCACCTATAAATTGTAACCTTAAGTTCTGCTTTGGAGAATTGCCTTTGGTTAAGACAGAAATGGGCAATCACTGTAGTTGTCTAAAATATCCGAATCAAGCAATCTGTTGATTTAAATAATTATTGTTTACCACCATACTTAAAAATCCTATTGATGTAACTGCGACAAAGATTGCTCATTGATGCTGAAAATTGCATTAGCAAGGTCCTTTCATACACCGAAAACAAAACAGCCCATAGATTTTATTCTTGGTGTGATGATAGTGATAGGCTTGATTCAGACTTGGCGGCATGGTATTTTGTTCCCATATGATAGAGTTGGGCGGCGGGATGACCATGATTATTATTTTTTAAGCAAACTCCATCTATATGTGAAAACATACGAAAAACGATTGAATCAATCTTGCTAGGCACAAAGACACTATAAATCAATGTACCAGTGATATGTCGGCGTCTTCTTCGGTGATCACTAGTAGCCGAGTAAGATTGTCTTCCATGAACACTGTCTTAGCAGTGAGTCCGTAAGTGACTATGGAGGCCAATTCTGGATCCCCACGTCCTTCCACAGTGGGGACATAGTTTTCTGGGCAGGAGTTGATCATGGTGAGGGTTTGCCAAATGTGCCTTCCTCTTAGCTCATTTCTCCTTTTCACCCATGACTCCTTTGGTAAAGGCTGTTCTCCAACTGGAGCGCTCACAGGCCAATGTTTCCCAGTTGTCGGTGTTTATACTACATCTTTAAAGATTTGCTTTGAGAAAGTCTTTAAACCTCTTTTGTTGACCACCAGCCTTATGCTTTCCATTCTTGAGTTGGGAATAGAGTAGTTGCTTTGGAAGACGATAATCAGGCATCCAAACAACATGACCAGTCAAATGAAGTTGATGTTGAAGAATCATTGCTTCAACACTGGTGATGTTTGGTTCTTCCAGTACACTGGCATTAGTTCGCTTGTCTTTCCAAGTGATGTGTAAAAATTTTTGGAGTCATCGTTGGTGGAATCTTTCGAGGATTTGGAGATGGTGTTTACCAGTGATATGTAGGCACACTGCTTACAAACCCATAAAGTGCTAATATCAGAGTCAACATGAGTGGAACTCTAAAATATTGAAATGGAAAATTCAGCCTCTGAGCTCAGGGAGGAGGATGAGCTGGAGCTTGTCCCAAGTGGTGGTGGAGGCTACGAGGGAGCATCCTGTTGCTATCCATGACTTGTCTATGGCCGCTGCTGCCAGCCTTCTTCCTTGGACAGCTTGCAGTGGATTCTGGAGAGCAGGTAAGGAGGAGGAGAGGCTGCCACACCAAGGCCCAGCTCCATATGATGCACCAGCTCTGATGGACAGGCAGAGGGCAGGGCCACCCTGGGCAGAAGGAAAGAGGGAGTGTAGACCAAGGAGTCTTGTGTGTGTGTGTATGTAAAGGTATATGGACCCCTGACCATTAGGTCCAGTCGTGGCCGACTCTGGGGTTGTGGCGCTCATCTTGCTTTACTGGCCAAGGGAGCCGGTGTACAGCTTCCGGGTCATGTGGCCAGCATGACTAAGCTGCTTCTGGCAAACCAGAGCAGCGCACGGAAATGCCGTTTACCTTCCCGCCAGAGTGGTACCTATTTATCTACTTGCACTTTGACATGCTTTTGAACTGCTAGGTTGGCAGGAGCAGAGACCAAGCAACGGGAGCTCACCCCATCACGGGGATTCGAACCGCCGACCTTCTGATCAGCAAGTCCTAAGCTCTGTGGTTTAACCCACAGTGCCACCTGTGTCCCATATATGTGTGTGTGTGTGTGTGTGTGTGTGTGTTGTGCATCCATGCTTTGTTCAATCTTGCCCCTTTCTAAAATATATTTTTTGGTGTGTGTTTTTCTTTTTGTAAATCTGCCAAAGAATAAGATAAAATAAAATCAGGATTAAGGTGTTTTCTCAGGACAATGGAGGGTATGGGTCTCATTGATGGTGATGGCACTCACCCTTCTTCTGATAGGAAATGCTCTGCAGGAGGGGGACAAAAATGAAGGCTCAAGGAAGGTCAGTTGGGGGGGGATGTCCCTATTTTCATCTGAAGACTGTTGGAGGGAATGCCATTACCATTTCCATGTTTCCATGGCATGTAGTTGGAATGGCTTCGAAGTAGGAATGGCTTCAAAGGCAGTTGATCAGGACTCAGTTTTTGGCTTTTACAGGAATCGCCGCAAGGTCCTGCTTTTGTGATGGAAGAATCAGTGCCACAATAGCAGGTTTTGTTGCCAAATTATGCCGCACATCTCACTAGTTAACTTAATTAGTAACAGAACAGCTGAGACGTAGCTTGACCAAATCCACCAAACAAATTTATATGTGCATGTTTGGCAGATGGGAATTGCACGTGAAATCCTCCCTGGCAGTCTAGGGACAAAAGATAATATTTGTTTTTCTTCTGGAAAATCAAGACAAGCCTTCATGTGGGAAGATAATCCCCTTGATTCTGGCTCGGAGGGTGGCTTGTCTGCCTCTTTGCCTTGGGAGCTGTATTCTGCAAAACCCATGTGTGATGCAGACGTCCAGACGGACTTAAGATAGCCATTTCTTGGCCTCCTCCTCTTCATTAAGAGCACTGAATGCAAATGAATTAATTAGCACATTCCAGTGAATGAACTTCATTTATCAGGAGGAAGAAAAACGGCCGAGTGATAATCAAATGGTTTAAGAGTTAATTGAATACAGAAATCCTGGATGCAAATGATGTGAGCTCAACTTGGCTTAACAGGCATCTTAAGTTTTAGCTATGCTGCTGCAGTTTTTTTTGGTCTCCTGTTGAAAGAGGGGGTGTTAAGAGGGAGGGAGAAGAACGTTTGCCGGGGAGGGTGTGTGTCAAATTTTGTTCCTTTCTAGATCTCAGCAATCCAGCAGGATTAGTCTGCCACTCAGGTTCTTTAAGATAAATATGACCTAACAGCCCTAAATTTGCATTTCAAAGTGTAATTTTGTCCAATCATATTCGTAAGTGGTATACTTGATTGCGGTGATACTGTAGGTTATGATAACTGGCTGCCCAGTTCAGGTCTTGGGATATAACAATGCTCTCATTGCTACACTACAGAAAGACATACAGCAATGTTCACTGTGTGTTATCTTGCCAAATGAACTAGCCAAACATAAAGAAATAAAAACAACTCAGTCTATAATATCATTACATAAACCACATGAGTTGATGGAGGAAGCCGGTCATACTCTTTGATTGAAACAGTTTATTTAGTAAAATAAAGTTGACAATTGACAAGCAAGTCTTTCCATAAAACCAAATCTGAGAATTCCACTCCGTCTAATTAGCTGTTACTAATTTCAGGCTGCAACCAAAGAGGCCATAATGAAAAAAGGGAAGCAGTGAGCTCATAAAGTATCTTTTCGTTTCCATCTTCAAAAAGGAGCAACAATGCAATAAGTGGATCTGTGTCAACAGCTGCCCTATTGGAGCTCATGAAAACCTTCCTCCAAAAACTCATCAATTGCTAGGCAGCTCCACACTATATATATTAAAGGTAAAGGGACCCCTGACCATTAGGTCCAGTCGTGACCGACTCAGGGGTTGCGGCGCTCATCTCGCTTTATTGGCCGAGAGAGCCAACGTACTGCTTCCGGGTCATGTGGCCAGCATGACTAAGCCGCTTCTGGCAAACCAGAGCAGCCCATGGAAATGCCGTTTACCTTCCCACCGGAGCAGTACCTATTTATCTACTTGTACTTTGACATGCTTTCAAACTGCTAGGTTGACAGGAGCAGGGACCTAGCAACGGGAGCTCACCCCATCATGGGGATTCGAACCGCCAACCTTCTGATCGGCAAGTCCTAGGCTCTGTGGTTTAACCCACAGTGCCACCCGCGTCCGTCTAATTAGCTGTTACTAATTTCCAATTTCAGGCTGCAACCAAAGAGGCCACAATGAAAAAAGGGAAGCAGTGAGCTCATAAAGTATCTTTTCGTCTCCATCTTCAACAAGGGGCAACAGTGCCATAAGTGGATAAGTGTCAACAGCTGCCCCATTGGAGCTCATGAAAACCTTCCTCCAAAAACTCATCCATTGCTAGGCAAGTCCACACTATATATTTTAGTCCCCCATATACCTTCCAACAATTTGGGTTGGCACTATGAGTTATCCTGCTCAGAGTGTGAGGAGTCAGATGCCACCCGTCAATCAAAATAAAGCAACTCTCTTTAAATCTTGCTGAAGAGGAATGAAATAGAGCTTTCTCACTCTTCCCTCCACCTGACATCATTGACCTGGATGCTGTTGTGGTGTGTTCACAGATGCAGACATGCATACCGACTGAGATCCAGAAAACTGCATTCTTTGTCTCTCTGAAAGCATTCCTCCTGTGTCCAATTATCTTTTTAAAAATTATTATTCTCTTGGTTCTGGCGTTTCTTCCTTGCATCATCTAGTCTCTTGCTCATGTTCTCAGTAGGCGATGCTACAGAAGCAATATGCATCCAGGCAGCTACCAGTAATGGGACTAAAGGGTTAAGAAAGGAAGAGGAGAAATCCAAATGCTGTTAAGAACTAATCTGAGGGGAGGTTACCTCTTCAAGGCAATTTTCTCACTATGGCAACCACAAACACATCCCCACCTCTGACACCAGTACATGCCACCGAACTAGTGGTAGCAAAAATTGTTACTTTAGGCAAGACTTCTGTATATTTGCCTGCTATCTGGCAACTTCCCAGCCTCCTTAATTCAGTGGCTTCTCTCTTGTTTGCCCATGTCACTGGATCTTGCCGTAGCAGTGATACCCCGACTTTTCTTTGTTTTCCCACAGTGGAGTACTGGCTTGCCGGCAGTATATTTTGAGAGACACACAGTGCACTAAAGAAGCCTTTTTCAAGATGGATGAATGGCACATTTTTCCCTGTTTAAATAGGTTGGCCTTAGAAGCATTCTGTGTGTGCCAGTCTGAGCTTGTCCCTGAAAGGCTGTTGCTAATCTGAAAAGTCACATCTGCTGTGGCAAAATATATGAAAATTCCTAAGATGCCAGCGAACACTTCATTTTTTTAACTCCTTGATAGCCTTGCAACACAGGAGGCGGAGGGTCAGTGGTGGGACTTCTTGGCTTGCTGTATAAATACGACAGAGAGACATAGTAATTTAGCTTGCTTTTAACCTCTTCTCATGAGTGGTTAGAACAATGGTTCCCCAAGTATCCACGAACTTCTCAATGTCATGTAATTCCGTTCGCTGAAGAATCAAGGCCACCCATTAAGCTACTTGTCAGAAGATTGCATTTTCAAGGGCTGAGATTGATTTGTCCCCCAAAATTCCCCTCAGATTTATCTCTGAAAACCCCAGTGCTGAAAAGTATCCAACGCTTGTGTGAGATCAAACATTGGCCAACTATTCCGTAAGTGGACATCTGTGTTCGATATCGCGTGAGACTAGATACTTGACTGATAATTCAATTTCGGTTTTTGAGAAGTGGTATGCCATTGCAGCTCATACCCGACAGCATTTGATGGTTGGCAGGCATTTAAGTCACAATTGAAACTCTGTGGATAGAAATGGCAGGCCAAATGGAACAACTCCTGCTGCTCATGCCAGCCAGAGCGAAAGGTGGGGAGCAGGGGAAACGCCCCTTTGCTACCCCAGTTACCATGCTGGTGCAGTGAAGACCCAGATCAGGCCTGTCGCCACCATGTGATGACCACAAGATTGATGCAGGACCCATGGGGGGGTGCACTGAGCTGGCTACTGTTAGGGGAGATAACAGCACTGGGCTGCTCCTTTGTGATAAGCTGCCTCACTAGCAGATCTCAGCAGAGGGATACCTCTTCCACTTCACCTCACCTGCCCTTTCCTGTGCCCCACAGCTCAGCGAATTGAGAGTTTTGATAGCTTTGCTCATCTTTGACAGATCTGTGATGGTTGGCAAGATACGACAGCACATGGGATTGTTTAACAGTACAGTCATACCTCAGGTTACGAATGCTGCGGAGTTGTGCGTTTTTGGGTTGCGGACTGCACTGAACCCGGAAGTATTGGAACAGGTTACTTCCAGGTTTTGGCGCTCGCACATGCACAGAAGCTCAAAATGACATCACGCGCATGCGCAGAAGCGCCAAATTGCGTCACATGCATGCGCAGATGTGGCGCTTCAGGCTGCAAATGCTGCAGGTTGTGAATGTGCCTCCTGCACAGATCACATCCGCAACCAGAGTTATGACTGTACTTTTGTAGCCTTATTGGAGTTCACCGATTGGATCTGCGTTGCTTCCGGACAGGAGGAAGGAAGTCAAATGACACCGAGGGTTGGTTCAGAGAAAGAGTTATTTATTTCTGCTCTCCGGAACAGCAGAAAGGCACTTGCGTGGTCAGTCCACAGCAAGTCCAAAGAAATGATCAATTTCATGCAGTATATATATATCCTCCAGGCACCCTCTCCCCCTTCCCCAGGAATCCAGCCACGTCAGCTTGTACACGCAGGTTGACATCACAGATGTTCCTGCTCCGGCACTCTTAACCATAAAAGGGTATTCCTTCCTATACTTCTGACCATAAAAGGATCTTCCTGTTCCTACTCTTATCTTGGAGCAAGAGGTCACCATCTCCAAGAACACCCTCTGGCGCTGTTCCCAGACTAGGTCTGTGCGTCTTTTGTGGTCTTTGTGGTCAGGACGTAAGATAAGGCACAGACGTGTCTTCCCTGTTCTACTGGTACAGTGAAGGCCATCCTTGCCGTCACAAACTGATAAAGGAGAAGGCTCTGAGCACTTGTTTATACAGCTGGGTTTTGGCTCAAGAGCTCAAGTTAAAGCATTTTAGCTAAGTAAAAATAGGGATTTTGGTGCCGTTTCAAACTGCCTGCACAGTCAGTTTTGGGTTTGGGAAACCCATTCCTTCACTTTGACGAAGGGCACCTTATGAGCTTTCATATACGACGCCAGCCAGGTGCCAGGACTTCAGGCCACTCAGATTTTGGATTGCAAGGTAAAACTCCACATTTAAAACACACATTTGAAACGTTGCATTGAGAATAAAGTGTACCCAAATAAGATATTTTGAAAAATACCAATGACCCTCTGAGCTTCAGCTCTAGAGCCGGTTTCTTATGATGCACCAGAAAAGCTACACTGACTGTTTTAGTTGCCCCTGGTGCATGTTAATCAAGTGTATTCCTCCCCACCCCCCAAAAGTATGTTTGTCACTTTTGTCTCCCCCAAGGTCACATTCTTTATGGGCAACCTTTAGGGTCTGTATACCAGTGGTGGTTGGGGCAAATGTAGGCAGAGATGTGATTCTGACCTTTGTCTTGTAGGCTACGTTCCAGCTTTGCAAAAGCCAGAGAGTTCTATGCTCTCGCATCTCTTCACCCTCCAACCAACCGGGCGAGAGGCATTAGCATAGCTCAAGGGCAGAGAAGAGCTGCTACTGCTGGTGGCAAGCTGATGTCGTGGAGAACCACAAGACCCAGGGACAGTTCCAAGGGTCAGATAAGAGAAGCTTGCATGGGTGCATTTGGCCTCTGGGATTGATAGCTTCTTTCTCCCCTGGCTTAAGTGCCCTACATGTTTTATCACTCTGGATGCAGATAGCCATAAATAGTTGGAGCAGAAGGCAAACAAGTGTCATCCTTTCATAGTGTGTTGAAGAGTTTGCTGCGCAATTAAACGGCCTTGGCTCTTTTGCACTATTCAGGCAGGATTCCTGACTGCAGGGAGTTAAACACACTTAGAAAGTCCCCTTTGGACCATTTCAATAAATGCATGAAGGTCTGAAGTGGAACCAGGATGCATAGGAATATTGGGTTGGGGCCACAGCTTACTTACATGTACACTATCATTTCCCCTCTGCAGCTAAAGCCCTCACCCATTCCCTCAAATGCCTGGAAGGGATTTTTGCTTTGAAGAAAACCAGAGTGGCTTGCGAGGGAAAATAAACTTCTTGTGGGTGCAGTTATTTGCAGGGCTTGGCTACTGAAGAAATATAAAAGAATAAAAAAACCTTCTCTTTGGGGAGTTATATGGACAGAACTATCTTAAATGTATAGAAACTTATTCATGCATGCTACTGCAGTGGCAAGAATGTTACCTGCCCCAAAATGGAAAGAAGCAGAAGTCCCAGTAAAGGAAGAATGGATACGAAAACTTATGGAGTATGCAGAAATGGCGAAAGTTACCGGAAGAATAAGAAATCAATTTTTAAATAAAAGAATGGAAAGGGTTTTTTGAATATTTACAGATTAATTATAAAAACAGATTGAATACTGAATATTTACAGATAAAATAAAAACATTGGCAGGGTTATTGTAATAAGCTGCAGTTTTATTAGAATATATATTTAAAGAAGATGAATAAACGAGCAAATTAAGCTACTTTGGATATGCAGAAGATATTAAAAATAAATTTAAGGAACTGCAGCAAGAGGGGGGAAGGAAGTCATGTTTTGAAATGTCAAAATGATTGTAAAATCAGTGAAATGTATAAAATCAATGAAATGTATAAACTTGAAAAGTACAAAATAAAAATACATATGGGTTTGTGTGTGTGTGTAATATATGCTCCAAGAGACAGGTTCCTATTCTGCACAGTGGCATTTTAAGACCATTTTCCTGCAGAAGATTGTGGGAGCTCAATCACAGGCCTTATTTTGTTGCCACAATCCCGCAAAGAAGTTGCACCCCTCCCAAGCCTCCTTGGGAGGAGAGCGATCCCAGCAGAGGCTTGGGAGGGAAGCTGCATGCCCGCCAGCCATATAGTTGGCGGGGTGCAGCTGGTGGGCATGCAGAGAAAGGGGAGGCCGCCAGCAAAGCCGCGCAACTCCCCCACTTGCTGGGGCGCCCCTGAGAGGCTGGCGCCCTGGAGCGACGCACCACTAAGCCCTATGGGAAAGATGTCTCTGTGTGCGGCCCACAGTTTCCGTGCCGAGGTGTCCTTGCAACACACTTGGTATGAAATGTTAGGCTGTCCTGATTTACAGAATGCCACTTCTGGCTCAAGACTCCTACAATGTTTTCCCGAGGACATAAGTATTCTTTTGCATGCATCTAGCCAGCAGGATGTTACATGCAAATTATCTGATGATCTAATACGGCAGGCCTGGTCCTTTCGCAAAGGCGAGTGAGCTTATGGCTTGCATATCCCCAGATGCCCTATCATCCCTTAAATACTGGCAAATTTAGATTGCCGCTTACAATAAGTGCTTATTATGTAATTTCCAGTTCAAATGCCCAGTCAACAATGTTGAACTGGGAGTGGTTGAACTAAATCCTTTTTTCCCCTATGAAAGGAAAGCAATGCATGTTAACAAGTGATTATGCTTACCTGGCTTCTTAATGCACCAGTAGTAGCCAGTGGGAGGAAGGAATGGAAAAAAGATCATTCCCTTCCTCTGGTGTTTAGCATTCATTTTGTGGCATCATGTGCCATGCACAAGTACCAGGTGGGAAATGTAGCTTTCCCGAGGTCCACTGCCAGGTGCTTGCTGAGGGGAAGAAAAGGAACAGATTTGGGGTGGGAAGGGGAGGAGGGGAGTTTGTCTGCAACTCAGATGAAAAAAGCAGGCACTATTACACATAAATGGCTTATCACACGGTTCGGCAGCAATGAGGTTGGAGATCCCTGCAGCAAACACACTGCAAGGATAAGGTGGGAATCCGCCTGGAGAGAATATTAGAGAGAAAGAGAGAGAGAGAACACACAGATTACTGGGTTTCATTTGTTTAACAGCTAGACTCTCTCAACGCACAGACAAAAGTCTGCATCGAGTGACTCAGAGCAACCCACCATTACATTTCTCTTTAAAACTAAACAGTGACTGTTTTGTGTTTCCCCTCTCTCCGAAAAGCACACTGCTGAATCTTACTTTGTAAAAAGAAACACACACACACACACACACACACACACACACACAGACCCCACAACCCAATAATGTAACTTATTGTTCCAGAGAAGAAGTATCATGAATGCATGTAGAATTGTTCACTAAGCCTGCCCCTAACATGCAAATTTGGGTTTCTGTTATCATCATTAAAGCTGTGAGGGCTGTAAAATCTCTCTCTGTGTGTGTACGCGCACAAGACAATAAAAGAAAGACTGAAAGAAATTTGGCTGACGCTTTAAGATACCATTTTGTTCCAAAGTTGGCACCGGCCTCAAAGAATAGCTGAATAGACCTGCTCTGGGAAGATTGATGGCTACCCTGTGCTCAATATAATGGTGAGCAATTTGGCTCCTTCCCAACTGAAGGCAGTGATGAGGTGAGAACGCTTCTTAAAGTCATCTTACAAGGGATGCTAGGACTCTGTGTAACCTTCTCTGGCCATACAGTTGCCAATTCCTATAGAAATTCAACAGAAAGAACAACAGGGGGTCATGGATCAGTACAGAGAATTCTCTCTGTTAAAAATCAGCAATCAAAAGGAGATGAAAATGGGTCAGATAGAAGCCTTAGTGGAAGGATTCCTTGGCATGCCAAGTAAACAAAGCCCACAGCCAGCAATGACAATGATTTAGAAAGATTTATTACAGCAGGCAGGGCAGTGGCTGTGTTTACTTGAAGAGGTATTTAAACTTTTACAGGTTTCCCAATCGCAGATTCAGCACACATATTAATATGCAGTAGCGACGATGTGCATCTAGCACGGACTGTCCTCTTTTGCAAACTGGGAAGAGCCGCTGGGGCATACTAATTGACACATTCTAGAAGCTAAGCAGCAGAGGATTCTGGGAGTTCGCTCCGCGTACAGGTCTTAACTACAAGCCCTCACATCGTGCTTTGCCCAAAGCAATTAGAAGAGCAATCTAACAGGATGCCAAAAGGCTTACAGTTCAGAGCACGAATAGATGCATATATATCTCGCGGTCTCTGTTGGCATTATAATTATTATTTTATTTATACAGTGAGATTGGGGTACACGCTGCCTTTCAGAGGCAAAATGAAATGAAATATAGACAGATCCGCAGTAGGAGATGGCGGTGCCAGCACTCCCCTGAACTTCTTTCCCTGACAGCTGAGTCGTTGCTGCTTGCCAGCAAGGAGAGGGTGAGCTGGTAGGGATGTCAGTGGTGTTCAAATGCACCAGCAGGAGCCGGGGATGTACTCCATGAGAGCATCTGCACTGCAAAAATGCCCCTTTTCCTCACCTCCCCCTTTCCTGCCTGGTAAGCAGTGTCTCAGCTGTCAGGAGTTCAGGTGAGCATTGGCAGCCCAGCCTAGGCCACCGTCTGCAGTTCCCCATCCTCAAAAGATCTTACAATATAAAGTAGACAATGGGGGGGGGGAATGAGAGAGGAGAGGAGAGAGCGAAAGGGATAGAAGTGGGGAAATGGCAGCCATTAAAGCTTCTTAAAACCGTTTCAGTTGGCTATCCCAGCAGAGGGGTGGAATCAACTTCAGGAAGCCTGCAAATTTCAGTGAAATGCTCCTTGCTTTTGTAGCTCTAATACAGTTGGGACTCAGCTATACAGCTGCAAATAAAACATTTTAAGTGTGTCTTAAGTGCAATATACAGCATGACACAGGATGGCGATGGTGAGCCTTATGGAAAATTCAATGTATTATTATTATTATTATTATTATTATTATTATTAAAAAAAGCATTTTCAGAGCGGGTTTTTTATATGTGTGTAGATTCCACCTTGCCAATAACAGAGAGGAAGTCAGTATATACCAGCTTGTGTTTGGATTCCCTGTAGAGAATATGAAATGGCTGCATTTCTACCCTACCACCCCCTGTGGCATTGAAAGAGGAGCTGCTATGTCCCTAGGCACCTCAGTTTTATTGAACTATCTTTTAGACAGCAAGGGCTACAGAATCGCTGCTGTTTGCACAATTTACAGCTCCACACAGCCCTGCGCTTAATGGGTGGCTCTTAAGACTGTTAGAATAATGTAGATGTTTAATAAGTCGTTCCTTTCAAAAAGTTCGGCTCGTTGCAGAATTACATTGGTAAATGAAAGCTAACGTATCAAAAGAGACTTCCTGTGCTTTCTGCTGGTGCATGATGATACAAAATAGTTAGGCGACCCCAAGACAAAGTCACTGGAATTTAATGTATGATATATGATATACACATACACTTTCTCTCCCTCTCTCTCTCATAGTGCAATCCATTATGGTGCTCTGAATACTGATTCACATCCTCGTTTTATGCCTTCCCCCATGACACTAGCTCAATGAGTCATATGTGAGTGTGTCACATCAATGGACAAGATTTTGAGGACTCCACACTTTCAACTTCAAAAAAGGGTGCTATGATGTACAGTTTTCTCCTCCTCCTCCAGTTTTGAGGGATACTGTAGTCAGCACCCAACTATTGCATGGACAGGCGGAGTCCCCCAAACCCTGGGCGGCCCCCATGTGGAATAATGACTCAAGACAACATGCTAAAGATTAAAATTGTCCACAACTTTATTATGTTTCAGATGTGGGTAGATCTTGGCTCAGGCATTTCGCATTTATCCCTCCCAGTCCCCCGCCGGGGATCTGGGGAACATCAGAGTTATCCGGGAGGGATGGGCTGGATCTGGAGAACATATGTTCAAGCAGAGAGAGCCCGCCCCCATTACGCTGCCGTCGCAGGGGAGAGCAATGACAACCTCTAGGCGTACGGCCAAAGCCTCCCCTCAAACAACCCCTTTAACGGGGAACACTGGTATCGCCGTCGCAAAGAGGAGGGGCCGTGGGTCACCGCTGCACACCCTCCCCCATTTAGGGAAGATAGACTAAAGGATTCTGCCCAAGGCCTGATACTGCCACCCGAATGTCTGTGGTATCAAAAAGGTGTTTTGTTTTGTGTGTGTGTTTTAAAATCTGCTTCAAAATGGCTGCCTCAGTAGCAACAATGGCTACCTCAGGAACAGAGGAAGCTGCCTTATGCAAAGCCAGACCATTGGACCACCCAGCTCACTATTGTCTACACTGGAGCTCTCAATGGCTTTACACACTTTCCTATCCCTACCTAGAGATGCCATAGATTGGAACCAAGGCCTTTTGCATGCAAAGTACATTCTCTACCACTGAGCTGCAGTCCTTCCCACTCCTACTCCCTCTATTACAAAGCAAATCATATTTATAAAGGTCCATTGGGTGTGGACATTTCACTGAGGAGATCATTCCTGTGCTTATTAGATCTTCTGTGGGGCATTTGATGCAGAGCTTATACTCAGGGAACAAGGTCCCTTCCAATATCTAATCCAAGCATGTGGTATTGCTCATGAGGGGTATATTAATTATATATAACATATCTATTAATGCAAAATAGGATTCTGCATGGACGGATAGAACTAATATTAATAGGAACACAGGAAGTCCTATAATACCTAGTCATCTGAAGGAGTATCATATATAGTGATTGGTGGTGGCTCTCTAGAGGTCCAGAACATCATCCTACCTGGAGACGCTAAGGATTGAACCCAGGACCTTTTGCATGCAAAACAGTTGTTCAACCACTGAGCTATGGTCCTTCCCGAGAAGGCATGTCCCTGAGGTAAGGGTGTGTCATGTTTTTGCATTTGCCTTCCATGCAGCAGGTGGTGGAGTAAAGTGTTGGAGGGGGATTTCCAGCTGGTGGCAGAGGACAGAGTGACTCCAGGAGACATAGGTGTAAAAACCCAAACTAAAACGAAGACTTTATTACTAAACAATAAACACAAACTCTGGTGGGTGTTATTCCTGCAGGCAGGCTACAAAATTCAGCTTTTTTCCTTTATAGCAACAGCCAGCTGCAGCCAATTAATCCCAGAAACTTCTTAAAGGTGTACACACATGTTTCTGTGCCAAATGTCCCCCAACATAAAGGCAAAACCAAGATGTAGTCAACAAGAGCAAGGGTAGGTATTCAGAGCAAACCGTTGAAATTGATGAACATGACTAAGTTGGGTCCATTAATAATACTCTGAGAGAAACTTAGCTGTATGCCTCCTGAAGTCTTCAGATTTTTAAGATCAATGAGTTTTTTATAGAGGTCAGGGAGTATTATCTTACTGGCTTGGGCCCATTAGCAACAGAAGCTATCTTAGCTATGTGGCTGATATTTCTGAAGATCTTTCCTTTAGCAGTGACTTAATAATAATAATGATTTTATTATTTATATCCTGCCCATCTGGCTGGGTTTCCATGGTCACTCTGGGTGGCTTATAGCATATATAAAAACATAATAAAACATCAAACATTAAAGAACATAATATCTGATACAGACTATAAATAAACCAATAAATCAATAGAAACTAGAAGAAGAAGAAGAAGAAGAAGAAGAAGAAGAAGAAGAAGAAGAAGAAGAAGTTTAGTTATACCCAAATTAAAGTAACTGCCAACCCCAACTAAACATTTAACCAACCCCAACGGTGGCACTGTGGGTTAAACCACAGAGCCTAGGACTTGCTGATCAGAAGGTCTGTGGTTCGAATCCCCGTGACGGGGTGAGCTCCTGTTGCTCGGTCCCTGCTCCTGCCAACCTAGCAGTCTGAAAGCATGTCAAAGTGCAAGTAGATAAATAGGTACTGCTCTGTCGGGAAGGTAAACGGCGTTTCCGTGCACTGCTCTGGTTCGCCAGAAGTGGCTTAGTCATGCTGGCCACATGACCCGGTAGCTGTACGCCGGCTCCCTTAGCCAGTAAAATGAGATGAGCGCCACAACCCCAGAGTCATCCGTGACTGGACCTAATGGTCAGGGGTCCCTTTACGTTTACCTTTAGCCCAACAAAAACAAAACAGAGGAATCAAAATTTAAAACCCCACAAATGTAAAACCAGTTAAAACATTTTGCAACGTTTTAGACACATTTTAGACTTGGTAGACACACAAAACATGAGTTCCCTCAGATCACTAGTTCAAGGTCTACTGCAGGCTCAAGGCTTGACTCCTATGTCTACCTGCTGATCACAGCTTCATCCTGGTCCCAGCTGCTGCTGCTGCCTCCTGCCACTCTCTGGCTCTCCTGGGCTTCACCCACAGCACAGCTATTTCAAAACAGGTGTTATCGTATATGCAGTTGTGTATGCAAAGAGTAATTGCATGCTGTGGTGAGATGGTAAGGGAGCCCCCAAAAGAACTAGCGGCTGCCAGCTGCTGGTAATGGCTAAGGAGGGATTCAGATCCCAAAGGATGAGCGGACACAGGTATTGAAAATTGACCGATGCCTGTTTATCCACAATGTGCATGCACAGCCTTAGTGAAAAGCGTCGTTGTTCCTTAATTATGATAATTCAGAGTCTTCCTGATGTGATTGTTCCTCCAGTCTCTCTGCTATCAAAATCCTGAAGTGTGCATATTTGTTAATGCAACATCACGACAGTAGCTTCCGATGGCCATATGTTTCCCCAACAGGCTGCCCACTTCAAGAAAGCTTCAAAACAGCGTACCCTCCAACATTTCTCCGATGAAAATAGGGACGCCACATTCCATAATGATAATTTTACTATTTATACCCCACACATCTTGTTGGGTTGCCCTAGCCACTCTGGGCAGCTACACACACACACACATTTTAAAAAACCCTTCTATATGCAGGATTGCCACCAGACAACTTTGGGGTCGGATAACGCCATACCTTCCAACACTGATCCAATGAAAATAGGGACATCCTAAGGAAAAGTGGGACATTCCAGCATGAAATCAGAAACCAGGATGGCTGCTGTAAATCTGGAACTGTCCCTGGAAAATAGGGACACTTGGAGCGTCTGTGAGATATTGGCCAATGGCAGGAAGGCTTGGGTGCAGGGCTCACCTTGGGGGGGGGGTCTGATCGAGCAGGTAGGCTTTCCTCAGGTGCAGGGGTCCCCCTATTTATAGTAGTAAGAATCCTCCTCTGCTGGGTTGACCAGAAGTTCATGGTTGCCCGACACTTATGCCAAAACTCTTACATCTGTAGTCAATAAAGTTGTGGCCTAATTTGACTCCATTTAAGATGTGTTGTGCCCTTTATTCCTATGCAGATTAGGGAGGTTGGGAGTGTGTAGCCTGGGCATGGAAGGGCCACACGGAAGCAGATTGCAAGGAAGACAATAGGCAGGTAGGATCTGGTTGAGGACAAGACAAGTTGGTGGGGCAGTGCCCCATTTGCCCTCATGTACGTTAAACCACAGAGCCTAGGGCTTGCTGATCAAAAGGTCGGCGGTTCAAATCCCCGCGATGGGGTGAGCTCCCTTTGCTCAGTCCCTGCTCCTGCCAACCTAGCAGTTCGAAGGTCGGTGGTTCAAATCCCCACATCGCGAAGTATTGGAAGACACAAGATTTACCCACCTGGGAAGAATGGCAGATGAAATTGATGGACTATATGGAACTGGCGGAAATGACTGGCAGAATCCGAAACCAGGGAGAAGAGTTGGTGGAAGAAGACTGGAAAAAGTTTAAAGACTATTTACAGAAATACTGTAAAATTAATGAATGTTAGAAAAATGTTGGAATGAAGATATATGGCTTTAGTAGAAATGTTATAAGGAATTAAGTATAAATAGATTAATAGAGTATTTAAGGAAAAAATAAGGTCAGAATGTGTTAAGATAATTATAGGATAGAAAACAGAGGAGGATGGAAAGGAATTGCTGAAACAATTAACAGAAGTGGAATACAAAAAGGGAGGTGTGAGGAGGTCGTGGAAATAAGTGAATGAAAGATAAGATATTGAAATTGTTTGATGTATTTTAAACTGTTTTTGTTTTGTTTTGTTTTGTTAGTTTAATGTGTTTAATGTGCTAGTGTTATGTAGTGTTTTTGTATTGTATTGTATTGTTTTCGTAGTGTTTAAATTGTTGGAAAAGTAATAAACATTATTTTCAAAAAAAACACAAATCCCCACGTCGGGGTGAGCTCCCGTTGCTTGGTCCCTGCTCCTGCCAACGTAGCAGTTCGAAAGCACAAAGTGCAAGTAGATAAATAAGTACTGCTCCGGCGGGAAGGTAAATGGCATTTCTGTGTGCTGCTCTGGTTCGCCAGAAGCGGCTTAGTCATGCTGGCCACATGACCCGGAAGCTGTCCGCCGGCTCCCTTGGCCAGAAAAGTGAGATGAGTGCCGCAACCCCAGAGTTGGCTACGGTGGTCAGGGGTCCCTTTACCTTTACTAACCTCCCTTGCTCCTGTGTATGTAAAGCCTTGGGTGAGGAAAAGGCTTTTTTATTTTACCCCTACACCCAGTGCTATTTTTCTAGGAAAAGAAGTGCCAGAACTCACCATGAACGCCTGCCTTGTTGTTTTAGAATGACAACAGCACCCAACTGAGAAGTGCTGGAACTGAGTTCCGGAGAGTTCCGGCCAGTGCTCTCCCCCCAAAAATGTTTAGGGGTATTCTCATTTTGACTCAAGAAAATCACCATTTTATAGTTCAAATTGGGGGAAAATAAATACAGTGGTGCCTCGCAAGACGAAATTAATTCGTTCCGCGAGTTTTTTCGTCTAGTGAATTTTTCGTCTTGCGAAGCACGAAATCCCATAGGAATGCATTGAAATTCAATTAATGCGTTCCTATGGTCCCAAAAAGTCCAAACAAAGCCAAATTTGGTACAACAAGAGTTTATTAAGTGCTCTTTAAAGTCACACATACTGTAAAGAGCATTTCAAAAATTGAAGGAACAATAAATTAAGTTTCTAAACATGACAGAAAAACATTTAAAAATGAACAAAGTGTACAGTACATTTTCTAAGACTATGTGGGACAACTCGAAGAAGGTTCCTCTTCCACTCTTTGCTTCTTGCTGAAGAACCCCTCCTCAACTGTTCCCCCAGCCACCCACCACACAGAAATTCAAATCCAGAATTTTTTTAAAAAAACACCAGAGTGGCCCAATGGTCACAGAAAATCATAAAAATGCAGAAAAAAACCACACAAGCTTCTGGATTCTTGCAAACCCCTCCTCAACTGTTCCCCCAGCCACCCACCACACAGAAATTCAAATCCAGATTTTTTTTAAAAAAAACAGCAGAGTGGCCCAATGGTCACAGAAAATCACAAAAATGCAGAAAAAAAACACACAAGCTTCCAGATTCTTGCAAACCCCTCCCCAACACCAAGTCCTTGAATTCCAAACACCCCAACCCAAAATCCAAACACCCCAAAAAAAAGTTTTAAAAGTTTAAAAGAAGTTTTGGAAAAGCTTCAAAAATCACCAAAGTCTTCAAAAACCTCAAAAAAGGCTACCACACCGCATGCTATGAGTTGCTCCTCAAAGTCAAGTCGCAACTGTATTAACGGTGTTAAGAAAAAGGAAACAAACTTGCAAGACGTTTTTGTTTTTCGTCTTGCGAAGCAAGGCCATAGGGAAATTCGTCTTGCGAAGCAGCTCAAAAAACGGAAAACCCTTTCGTCTAGCAAGTTTTCCATCTTGCGAGGCATTCGTCTTGCGGGGCACCACTGTACAGTACATGGACAAAAGTACAAAGTTTCCCAAAATGTTTAGGGGTATACAGCATACCCCTGCGTACCCCCCAGAAAAAAGACCTGTTTCCGGCTGGAAAAAAGTCCTGCATACAC